AAGAGTATACTAATATTTAGAGGACGCCTTAGAACCGAAGATTATACGATCACTAAGTTTACTCGAAACCATAGATAAGAGTGCTCAGAGCGATTCTTTTTTAAATGTTATTTATAAAAATATAATTCTTAAAGAATATAATTATTTTTAAAGAATTATATTCTTAGAAATAACATTCAAAAATAATTATATTAAAAGAATTATATTATTATATAGTTCACATATAAACTTAAAAACTTGGTAATATTAAGTTGCTGAAAGACACGCTGCAATTAAAAATAATATGCGTGTTATGATATTTAGTGGAATCTCTATAACTCGAACCTCGTTAAGTCGAAATCCTCAGTAAGTCGAAAAAAATTGCCATTCCCTTCCGCTGAACCCCTAAATACGCGGGATCTCGAATTATTAGGCTTTGTAACTCAAACAAAATGTTATTTCCCTATGAAATATTGATAATATATATTTATACTCTATAACTCGAATTTCAAAAAGGAGACTCCGTAAGTCGTAGTTAGTAAACAATAATGACGTCTTACTTGGAATTCCCCGAAATATTAGCAAGCAATAAAATCCGGGTTCTTAATCGTAAAGAAGCTGCCGCGTCACCTGCCGAGCGTAGGCCGAGCTCGGCAGGTGACGCGGCAGCTATGCGTATCTTGAAATTTTCAACTATAATGCCCGTTAGTCAAACATGAAACGTCCTATAACCAAAGGGAAAAAATTTAGTTTTGGAAAATAAACTGATCTTTCAAAATAAGTTTATGCATTTTATTGATTAATCTAATATTTCAAGAGTTATTGGCCGCGTATATAGAAAAACCTGTTCATTAAATGGGCCATAAATCGTAAACGGTAAGTTTTACAAAAAAGTTTACTGGAAACAAAAGATGCGAAATTTTATTTTCTACAATAATGGTTTGTATAACTTTTGCCATAAAGTGCATAGTTTCCGAGATATCGGCTGAAATCGTTTTTTTTTCAAGATTGCGCTTGAACTGAAGCTCGCCACCTGGATCTGTCGGCATTTTGTGATTTTATGCTGAATAAGTGATCCTAAACCTCATAAAAAAATAAAATTGAATCGGAAATTTCGTGCAATGTTAAATTCTATTTTTACTGTACTATTTCATTAAACATTTTATTTGTCAACAACGTCTTACAGTCGTCGTTTCTCTAGCGCTCACGTAACCTTCATACAAATAATTCGATATTTTAATTGTTAATAATTTTTATTTTTGGATAAGAACATGGTAATGACTCTAAGTTATATTTACCTTCATTTAAAAAAAACTGTCTTTGGCCGAACCTACTATACTCTTTGGCTTGACCATAGGTCTGACTAATAGGTCCATAGAGTGACGGATCACGAGGTTTATGACGCGTACACTTGCTAAACACACAATAATGGAGAGATTATAACGCCTATGACTTGGTTAGCACAATAGTAAAGAGAGGTTATAATGCGTACTTGCTAAAAATATGTAAGCATTTATTATTGTCTGTATAAAATCTCTACTTACCTAACTCCATCAGCAATATCCGGAACTTGTGCAGAAACACTGTCAGGATTCATTATTGTTATTATTTTTTATTATTTATTATGTTCAAAAAACCTGTATACACTCAACAAAAATAATCGTCGCGACACCACACTGTTCAATGCGAAATAGAAAGACGAAACGAAAATAACTGGCTTGCTTTTTATATGAGAGAGAGAGAGAGAGAGAGAGAGAGAGAGAGAGAGAGAGAGAGAGAGACAGAGACAGACAGAGAAAGACGCGCACGCCGCACAGCTTAGAACTGTAGCAAAAAGTGTCGTTACAAATTTTGGTCTTAATTTTTTAAGGAACTTCGTTCCAATACGTTTAAATAATAATACATTAAAGAAGAACATAGTATGTATTATTTTATTTTTAAGTACCTGCATGACCGAGCTTTGCTCGGTAATTTTTTTTTTTGGAAATCGTGTTTTGAAAATTATATTTATATATAAATTACCGACTGATGAAACATGAATAATATTTTTTGATCTTATTGACATTATAGAAAAAACTGAACTGGTTATTTGAATAAAAAATCATGAGTGCAATTATTTTAATTTAAATTTTTGTATTTTTAAAAAAATACTAATAAAAGGTCGAAATATAGATTTTCACAAAAGAAGGGAACGGAAAGAAAAGGCAAAAAAGTCAGACCGAAGACAGGACGCGAACCAGGGCACGACGGCCCGATATCCACTTGAACTATTACAATCATTAATAAAGTGTCAAAATTTACCTTCTTATATTGTATCAGTTTTTCATTTTCTGAAATATTATTCATTTTTCATTGCCTAGCTGTACGGCCAGCCCATTGCCATTGAAACTGTATTTGTTTCTTTATCTATTTAATCTGTATTGGACTCTTGCATAGTACTTACAAAAGGGGCGGAATTAATGCCATTAGACATTCTCTGACAATAATCCATACCTATTTTGTCAAGTATTAACTTAGCTCAACTACAAAAAAATATGAACACCTATTTAAATAATTACCGTTACAGCGTGTCAAAAGTCCACAGCTGAACATTGAACTCCTCCATAGATTCCTTCATAGGTGTGCAATTTGCCATATTTGCCGAGCCAGGCAAGCGGATTAGCAACCGCACTTTTTTGTGTTTTTACCGCAGTTTGTTGTGTGATTTGGCAAGAAGAAAAAACTCGTGTTATGCGCGAAGACAGGTCGCAGTACCGATTCAAAATAAATTATTGGACTGGATTTGTAAAAGGAAAAATAATAGGCCCATTTGAATTACCGGGGAACCTAACTAGCCAAAATTACTTAGAATTCCTTGAAAACGATCTTCCAAATTTATTGCAAGCGGTGTTCCTAGGAGTCTGACCTGCGCATTATGCTTTATCTGTTCGTGCATATTTAAATAGGAACACACCCAAACAGATGGAATGGCCGTCTAGGGCCAATTTTATGGCCCCCACGTTCACCAGACCTAAGTCCGTCGGATTTTTTTATTAGGGCTGTCTTAAAGAAGTTTGCGCAAAACTGATCAGTTCCTTGGAAGATTTACGTAGCCGTATTCGCGCAGGCGCATTGAAAAAAATCGATCGATGCTAAACGCGACTGCTCAGGATAGCATATTTTCGTAGACGTAGGGTATGCATCAGAGTCGGTGGCAGATAATTTGAACATTTATTGTAATTTATAAAGAAAAGAGTGTTATTATGTCAAATATTGTTTTTTTATTAAATCCCAATGATCAGTTATTTTAATATAAATAACATTCCAAAATTTCAAATCTTGTGTATTAACCAAATTTCACTCCTTTTAAACACGAATAGCAATAATTCACTTTTATATATATAATAAGGGTGACAAACGAGCATACAGTCTACCTAATAGTGTGGATGCTGTGGCCCATAGACATCCTACATCTATCCTCGATTAAGAATCAAAATGCCTCGTTTCCAATAAACCGGTTTCCGGATCTTTACACTCACCATACGAAATTCAGCAGCATTAAGCCGCTATTTTACGCTGGTATTCTGTGAGAGCGTGGTCCTTCCCCGGTCAAGCCAACTCATTCGTGCTACACCATAATATAGCTGCAGCATGACTCTACCACGTATAATGTTTACATTAGGTACTACGATGAGTAATACCATTTTGAAATCGGCTTTAAGCACATATTGTTTTAAAATTATTGGTCACTTGTGTTCCAATACGTTTTTTATTTAATGCTACTTACTTTTAATGTTGTTAAAACTTTGTCAAGTTGATTTTTTTTCACTAATTTTTCACTAGGACAATAATTCAAGTTGTTTTTGGAAAAGCCGTGTTTTTTATTGCATATCTATCAGCTCAGTTAACGTAAATTACTATAACAATAAAAAAACCGATGGAATTCATTAATTTGTGGTCGTGGTGTGCAAGAATGTAAAATAAGATAACAAAAAATATCAATATTATTTTAAAACAAACATATCTTTGGCACTACTTGGATTTTTCATTTATATTTTTTTTTCTAAATTGCCATTAGTTCTACATAGACCCATTTCAAGGTTATCCATTAATTACCGGACACCTTATATAGGCAATGAATGGTCAATGGACTACAGTAGCCAATTACCATTAGACCGACTTTAAGTACGTTTGTCACTTCAGTTTCATTAAAAAAAAAAACACAGAGACAGGTTATCAAACACCTTTCTCTGTCCTTTCATCACCAGTAAAGAACTTGAAAATTCTGTTATAAAATTTGCGAAATGCACGCTAAGATAAAAGTCGTTCAAAATAAATTATCTTATATGTATTCGTGGCAGCTCATTGTATGTTCACCGTTTAAACGAAGTTCTGCATAAAGATGGTCATAATACATAGTTAATGAAGTGATAACATGATAATGTTATCACTTCATTAACCATAGTTTGTGCTTTTATACAATTTACCAGAAACGCACAAAATTATTGGTAAAGGTTTAAATTCCAGAAACGAAATTATTGGTAAAGGTTTAATTAATTGCTTATTACAAATCTATCTGGCCAAAGTATCCCAAATTTAATTTAGTTTTTAGTTTTATAATAATGAGCAAAATAAAATACTTACCTAAATCTTTCATAAAACAAAATTAAAACTTATAAAATGGGTGATAGGTACTTATTCCGCTCTGAGTTCATACAAGACATAAACGAGATAGCAATAATGTGATTAGGATTGCGAAATATTTTCCTATCACTACTATTTTAGATTATTTTCAACAAATGAAAATAATAGTCACAAATTAATTAAAAAAAAACGAGTGGTAAATGTTGGTCTCATTAGAAAATAAATAATTGTAAAACAATTTACGAACGTAAGGCCTTCAAGATAATACATTATTATAATACAAAATCGTAACTAATCACAATTCAAATAACAAAATAATATGTTAGAGCATATAATAAGCACACGATAAGACGTATTTTATCGATATGATGTAAAGCGGCAGTTTCACTTCTCTATCGTTAAAAGTTCACTTCGGGATGGTGTTTAGTCATGTGATAGTTCAAACTGGCTTTTTGAACGAAAGCCTGACCGCACTCTTTGCAGACCTTCCTCCTGTCACCCGTGTGAATCCTCTCGTGCAGGTTCAGGGTCGCCTTCCTCAAAAAAGACTTTCTGCAGAAGCGGCAATGGTAATCCTTCACGGTCTTGTGCTTGTATTTGTGTTTGTACATACCTTGGAGGCTGAATGATTCATACTCACAAAACTTACACCTGTACTTCCGGCCGAGCATGTGGAAATTATTTATGTGTTTCTGCAGTTGGATTTCCGTGTTGAACGTCCCATTGCACGCGTTGCATTTGAAGCGCTCGTCTACATTGTGCGCCTCCAGTTTATGGACGGTGAGAGGTGCGAGGTTCATAAATCCCTTCTCGCAGAGCTCGCATAAAAACTGCGGAATTTTGTAGTGTTTGCTCTTCACGTGGAACCTTAGCGAGCATATCTTGCGGTAGCTCTTATCACAGTGGCTGCAGATATATTGGTCCCCATCCTTCTTATAGTCTTGCGATAGCAGGCAAAACTTTGGCGCGGTCTTGCCGCCTAGAAGATAGAAAAACAGTTTTTAGGTGCCATTCCAGTCTTGACGCCTCGGTCTTGATGGTGTTATTTCTTTTGGGTTTAGTTTATATTATACTGCCAGGTGGTATCTATTAATGTTAGGTACTCTTCGGTCGAGATCGGCACGTGATAAATGGCTCAGTCTTCGCAAAACGACATTAACAAATTATCACGTATAACATAACATAAAACATAAACACTCACGCCTGTCACCCAGAGGGGTAGGCAGAGACTACGGACTTCCATTTGGCACGATCCTGACATACCTCTTTCGCCTCCTTCACATCCATATATCTACGCATACATGCTCGTCGTGATCACGTATATGGCAATAATACCAAAAGTTCGATTTATATTAATGAGGACCTACCTAAATACAAGCGACAATTATTTTGGACCTCAAATAATGAACTAAAACAAATTTATAAATACATATGGATACAGAATTCTAATATATTAGTTAAAAAAGAAAATGAAACTAAAATATAATATGAAATATGCAACAAGGGTAATGTGTAGTGTATCTACGTGGTTTTTGTTAACCTTAAAATTCGAAAATTTTAATGAAAGCACTTACAATTACTATACAATTTAATAGATTTAAAAATATTATTACTTGGAGTAAACAATGGGGCACAGACTATAATAAAATACATATTTTACACCTAAATATTAGATCAGAGATAGAAAACATTTTAATGAGTTAACTACTGTTAACTCATTACAACAAACTTTATGCTCTATAAATATTATAATCTTAACAGAAGTAAACATAAAGAAAGAAGAATTACCCTTTTATGAGATTCAAGGATATAATAGCTATGCGAATACCAGAGAAGTGAAAAGAGGAAGAGGAATACTTATCTACTGGAAGGAAGGACTAAATATTGAAATGGAAGTAGGAAACACAACAGCTTTGGAAATTGTATATGGACGAATAATTACGACAACAAGAACTTTACATCTTATAGCATGTTACAGACCACCAAGTAAAAACAAAAAGCAATTTATAGATCAACTAGGAATATTAATAAGGAAGATACCGTCACAGGATGATCTAATCGTAATAGGAGATACAAATACAGATATCAAGAAATAAAATAAACCCGACAATTGACCGTTATAAAAGCACCCTGTGTGAAAACGGCCTCATGTGTGCTATACCAGCGAGGGATATAACGCGCGAGGCGATCGTCCAGAGCTGCATCGACCATGTATGGGTACGGACGACGCGCTCCGGCTGCGGGCCGACAGCTTCATTTATACTCGAGTGCAACATCTCAGATCACAGTGCAGTAGGTATTACCCTTGATATTGACCGTAAGCATACAGTGTGCAATAACTATAACGAAGTATGTAAATACAAATTTGTAATAGATACTTAATAAGTTAGTTAAGGAAAAATTAAGATTAACGGATTGGGCACAATTTTTGTCTATATTATGCCCAATATTGTTATATGAATAAATATTTTCTACATTCTCTAAGATTTATGAGGAAAGTAAAATTAAAATAACTTTAAAGAATAACAGAATTAGTCAGCCATGGGTTAATAAAGAAATATATGATAAATTATTAAAGCGTGAATGCTATTTCGGGAGTGGAAAGCATCGCCTAACAATATGACCAAAAGGTTAGAGTACACTTCATTTAGGAATAAGGTGAATAAATTAATTAATAGTGCTAAGAATAGGTACAGACAAAAGGAAATAAATAAATGTAACGGGGATTTTAGAAAAATATGGGAAAATATCAATACGTGGATAGGACGCCCAAAGCCTAATCTAGATAGCGTTATCTTGAAATATCTCGGTAAAAGGGATAATATATACAACATATGTAGTGAATTTTCAAAAACGTTCACTATAGAAATACAATGCATAAAACATAGATGTAACACAAATTCCTAAATAGAAATAGTTATGTTAAATCAAGCGAAGTATCTTTCAGGTTTGTAAATGTAAACTCGTCGAAAATAAAAGAAATTATAAATAAGTTGTCAGAACGAAAGTCACCAGGGGTAGATAAAATTAGCCATTATGAATACACAAATTACAGGCTAATAGCTATTCTTCCAGTAATAAATAAAATTGTAGAAAAGGTAGTCATACAAAGAGTGAGTAGTTTCTTAGAGAAATTTAACATTATTACTGATTGTCAACATGGTTTTAGGAGAGGACGGAGTACTAGTACTGCGTTAACGAAATTTTCGGAAGCAATTAACTACAGTCTTAATAATGGTAAACAGGTTGTGGCTCTTTCTATAGACTATAAGAAGGCATTTGATACTCTGGACCATGAATTACTTCTGGGAGCTATGGAGGAATGTGGAATTCGGGGCCCCGTAAATGAATGGTTCCGTAATCAAATCTGACTATTCGCACTATGATGAGAGGGACGACTGGCGCTGAAGAACACATCTCTCTCGGTGTACCAACCGGTTCTGTGTACGGCCCCGTAGGGTACATTATACTGGTGAACAGTGTGGTTAATGTAGTGCATCACTGCGATACCTACATATACGCCGATGACATGTGCCTATTGTATGCTTCCAAAAACTTACATGAAGCTTGCGATAAAATACAGGAAGACTTTGATCGGATTACCCAATGGGCACATGATAACGGCATAATATTGAATTTGAAAAAAAACAAAGTGTATGCATTTACATTCTCCATACAACAGGCTAGCTAAGAATGTACGCTATAAAGAAATTGTGGGGCATGACTATGAGTGCTTGCACAGGGGAAAATTATCATGTCAATGTGCCAAAATAGAATTAGTTAATAGTTACAAATATTTAGGATTGTTGGTAGATAGTAGTTTTAATTGGAAATTACACATTGAAGGATTCATTTCCAACAGAATATCAACAATTAAAATAAAAAGGATATTTAAATTTATAATCAAGTAAACTGAAATCACTGTGTACTTTTTTCGACAAAAATGGTATCATGCGAAATCGTAGACGACTTGGTATGTCAGAACTAGATGACCAAGTAAAACATTCGATAGTCCTACCACATTCAACAGTTACTGTAGCAAGTGTGCATGACAAGACACTGCATGGTGGATGGTCCTCTGTTAACGGCAAATTATTTAAGATCAGCCTATTGGATAATAGGAGCTAGATCTCTAGTTCAACAATATCTCCACAAATGTGTAACTTGTGCAAAACAGAGATCTAGTGTCCAAAACCAAATGATGGGTGATCTCCCATCGGTTCAATGTACACCAGCAAGACCATTTATACATAGTGGAGGGGATTATGCTGGACCTACAAGTTTAAAAATGCCAGACGTGGGCATCTTTGTTATAATGGCTACATATTCCTTTTCATTTGCATGTCTACCCGCGCTATTAACTTAAAGGCCGTCCATCAGTGACATGAACACACAGGCATTTTAGCCACTTTTCGACGATTTGTGTCGCAACGAGTTCACTGTGCTAAATTGTGGAGCGACAACGGCTCCAATTTTGTAGGTGCCTCCAGATAACTACAACAGTTGGCATCTATTCAGCTAGCCATAGCAGAATATCTGGAAGCAAGCAACACCGAGTGGTATTTTATTCCGCCTCATGTTTCCAATTTCGGTGCTCTTTATGAAGCGGGTATAAAATCCATTAAGTTTCACCCTAAAAGGATTATTGGCGACTCTACCCTCGCGTACGAGGAAATGATCACATTCTTCAATCACGTGGAAGCGTGTCTTAATTCGTGGCCGATAAGCGTCATTAACATTACCGATCCTGGTGAGTCCCTGCATTTAATCTGCCTGCTGCCTGGATATTTCTTAATAGGAGAACCGACAGTTGATGTACCAGATAAAAAAAGTTCAAACGTAAGCTATTTAACTATATGTAAATATATCGATTACGAGTGTTGACGTTTCACATATTTTTCCAAATATTCGTTTAATCAATTGACTTTATTATTGGTTATGATATAATACGACTTTTACGAAAATGAAATCCAAATATTCTTTGCTTTAAATCCATATGTTGGACAAGTAAGAACGCATTCTTGGAGCATCAACATTCTTATCTACAAAAGTACTGCCAAATAATAAGTTTCATTACTAAAACTTTGTGAAACTGTATCATCATCATCATTATCAGCCAGTGAGTCTATTGCTGGGCCTCTCACATTTTAGGCAGGATTTTCCTAAATCTGATGGTAAGATGGTAAACGGCATTGATTTAGCTTAACAAACCTTATTTAATACTCTTGCTTTGAAGACCCGTATGTTGTGATCGGATAGAAAGACAGGTGCTGGCAAACTATTCCACTCCAGTGCACTCTCCAGTACGTGAGAAGCAAACTGTTTTGTATCCTGTGCGAACGTGACCCCACCTCGGAACATTAGAATCATTGCATTGAAAATGTAAAGGCTTTTTCAAAAACTAATTCGATAGAATACCTAGGCTGCACTAAAAGTATCGGGAATGGAATATTTCCACTGTTTCTGTCATATTAAAATATTTTTAATTAAAAACTCCTTGGTTTTAAAAATCGAATACCATTTATTTATTTAAAAAAAGATTTTCGGTCTTGTCACAAGGTTTTGTCAAACTTGTTTAGTCGTTGAGAAAATGGAATTGACTCGAGAAAATTCAAGAGCGATGATTTATTATGACTTTCGAAGTGGTTTAACACAAAAACAGTGTGTTGACCGGATGATTTCCGCATTTGGTGATGAAGCCCCATCCAAAACCACAATTTATCGCTGGTTTGCTGAATTTCAACGTGGACGTGTAAAGCTCAGTGATGATCCCCGTCAAGGTCGTCCAAAAACTGCAGTCAACCAAGAAAACGTTCATGCTGTGCGTAAGCTGATTGAGGAAGATCGACATGTGACATACCGCTAAATTCAGGCAACTTTAGACATTGGCATGAGTCAAATACAAATAATCTTGCATGAACAATTAGGTGTAAAAAAGTTGTTTTCCCGATGGATACCGCATTCGCTCTGTGAAGAGCAAAAAGCGGCTCGCGTTACTTGGTGCGTCAGAACTCTCGAACGATTCCACGCAGGATCCTCAAATGCTGTATACAACATCGTATCAGGTGACGAATCCTGGATGTACGCGTACGAACCCGAAACAAAAAACCAGTCACGAGTTTGGGTGTTCGAAAATGAGTTAAAGCCAACAAAAATTGTTCGTTCACGGAGTGTTTCAAAAAAAATGGTGGCCACGTTTGTCTCCAAACCAGCCATGTTACGACTATTCCTCTTGAGGGACAAAGAACTGTTAATGCAGAATGGTATGCTAGCATTTGTTCGCCACAGGTCGTTTCTAAACTCTGTAAAGAGAACTGTAACCGCCGCATCATCCTCCATCACGACAATGCGAGCCGCACCGCACACAGAACAAAAGAGTTTTTAGAGCAAAAAAACATAGAATTATTAGACCATCCGCCGTACAGCCCCGACCTAAGCCCTAATGATTTCTATACTTTCCCTAAAATAAAGAATAAATTGCGTGGACAGAGATTTTTATCACCTGAAGAAGCTGTGGACGCCTACAAAACGGCCATTTTGGAGACCCCAGCTTCCGAATGGAATGGTTGCTTCAATGATTGGTTCCATCGTATGGAAAAATGTGTCAAATTTCGCGGAGAATACTTCGAAAAGCAATAAATACATTTTTAAATAGTAATGTTGTGTCACTTCCTTGATTCCCGAAATTTTTAGTGCCGCCCTCGAACTATTAAAATATATCGTTAAATATTATAAAAATATTCGTGTAAGAAAACAACACTCATGGGATTATTCTTTTAAATGATTGCGTTCGTAACAGATACAACGGACAGCTTGTCTAGCCACCATTTTAATATAAGCGTCGAATCGGGAATCTGTGTCCTAATTTAATTAAATGTAGTAAAGTCACAATCAATTAATATGGAGTAGCAGAACTAGGAGAACTTTCTAGGAAAATCCTTGATAGAACTATCGACATTCTACTCGAACATTCTAGATGTTTTCAGTAGTAAAGGCCGGACCGCGACCGAGTCAGTATTGATTTGGCGATACAAGCGAAGCTTCGGAGCGACGAGTGTATTTAAAGTTTTAATTTTGTGTTCAGTAATTAAAGTGTCAATTTTGGTAATTCAATCGGCAGTTTTTATTGTCACGAACCCTAAGCTCGTAACAGTATTTCCAATTCTGTTTGGTCTGGGCATACCCCAAAAAAAAATATGTTGACTACGCCCATGGATAAGTTCAACGGAAAGAAAATTGAAAATATTTAAACGGTTTGGACGTATTTCTAAAAAATAAAAACGTAGGTAGGTACTAATTTTAAATGGTATATTAGAGATTATTAGAGATAAACGTGAAAGAAAATATTTAACTATTTAGAATCTAGAACGGATTCCAAACTGACGACGGTGCAGACGACACTGACTATGCTTAATCATGATAGTGTCACTATCCCATAACCGTTACAACCAATTAAAGACCACTGCTTAACATAGGCCTTCTCCATAGATCGCCTCATAGGGGGGATATTTGCAATAGTTGCCACGCTTGTCAAGCGGGTTGGCAGCCGCAGTTTTTTATTATTTTTAGTCGTTATTAGGAAGACGCTTCTGCCCATCTCTTGATTTTTTTCCTCTGTGTAGGATTGTATATTCTTACACCGCCACTACATGGTAAAGCCAGCAATAAAAGTTTAATTTTCAACCTTCTTTAACCTAAAAGCAGGGCAATATTTTAAAGCTGGCAAGAACGTATACATTTCTCTCCGTAGATAACAATTATATATAATAATAAGCGGCGAACGATCGTTTCCATAAAGTAAATGATGTCAGCCATAGCGAATTCCTACAAATAGTTACGGAAGCTTTCAACTGCATAGGAGATATTATTGTACTATTTTGGTAGGGTGATCGCTACCAAGCTATTTCCAGTTTGTTTTGTGTAGTTAATTGAAACATTCATGATTGTAAGCTATTATTTGGAAAAAAAGTCCCGCTGGGTTTCTTGCTGGTTCTTCCCAGTACAGAGGTTTTTTTTGCGAACCACAATTCATGCATCATTACCAGCCACGAATCAGGAATTAATTGATTTTTTACACATTAATAAACGTACTCAATATAATCATGTAACAAATACTGGTCGTATATTGGTACATCTATAGATTCCTGCGAAGTAACCCAAACAGTAACGCCTTTGAGTAATACTGAACATATACACCCTCTAGATGTCACTATTTCACTATCGACGGAAAAATGTTTTCCTTACAGATTAACAAATAACAAGCGTATTTTTTATAAAGCAGATTATGGTCACATAAGAAAGCAATGAACGAGGTTAGTTTGATTAAGATGTTAAGTGGATTAAATGTAGTGTTGCCCAAATGCAAGAACAAGACGAGACTTAGCCAGTCTTGGTCTTGGTCCTGCGCCAATACACCTGGTCTTATTCTTGGTCTTGGTATTGCGCTCTCAGTCTTGTTCTTGGTCTTGGTCTTGCAGCAAGAGTCTCGCAAGTCTCGCAATTACCTATTAGCCTATTGTTATTTATTAAACGTTACTTTAGATCTTAGAACAACTTAAGAGAGTAGGCACATTTTGAGCTTGAATTAACATAGCCATAGAAAGACCAACCAAATTAATAAATGTCTAAACATTTAATGAGAAATTCGAAAAATCAACTAATACCGGGTGGGGTTTGAACCTACGACCTAAGCGATCCGTGCCGATGCTCTAACCAACTGAGCTGTCTACCAAGTCTCACGGCCACGGGAGTTAGTCTGTTTCTTAATAAACTTTACATTTAATAAGCTTACATGTGCTAAAACTTAGTCAAAACATATAAAAAACAAATTAATGACATTAACTTGAATGTATTATAAAGAACATTATCTGTCTAGAAAGAGATTGATAGACCCTTATATGAAATGGAATAAAAGAGTTATACAATTTACCATTTATTTAAATAAAAAATAAAATACAATACAAATTAAATTACATAACAGTACACAACAGCTTTGACATTACTGTTACTTTATATTAATTCTTTTGACCACGAATTAATACAAAGTAACCATCTGGCTGACTCATCACTTAACCTATTTCTATGTTTTCTAATTACTAATGATGCTTTAGAAAATAATCTCTCAGCAGGTACTGAAGTTGCAGGTATTGAAAGAAAATCGCGGGCCATCTTCGATAAAGTCGGATATTCTGACTCATGCGTCCTCCACCACTCTAAAATGTCTACCGAATTGGCGGCTCTGGGTTTACTTAGGTACTCCTCCAACTCGTCTATAACGAAACCTTGATGAAAAGATCCAGATCCAGATGACGTCGAGGGACATGCATACAATTTCTCAAAGTCTATTACGTCTTCATCTTTATCATATTCACATACTTTCTTTTCATTTCTTGGTGATTCTAGAGATGTATTCACTGAGTGTAGAATTTTATATTCTTTATAAAGTTTATTAGATTTGCGCAGGCTTTCTGTTTTAATTTCCTTCCCCCATAATGTCATGTCAAAAGTCTGAGTCTTATGCCTTGGGTCTAAAATTAAAGAGGTACAATAAATCTAGTTGCTCTTTTTATAATGTTTAAGCATTTTGTCTCGAGCTTCTTGAAAACCCAGAATGAGCCTTTCATCCACTTCAGATCGATTAGGTTTCTCATCTAATTGTTTTACCATGGATTCAATTTTATCGAGTAAGAGATTGAATGATACAATGACTAGCGGTAATGTAACATATTTTTCTCCACCAAGTTTCGTTGATAGAAGTTTAAAGTTTATTAGAAACTTATGTATTTTTTTCGAGTATTTGCCATTCACTATCCGTGATTTGAAAATCATTCAATTCGTTGACAGAAGTGCACAATACGTTAATGCCAGTTTTCACTTTTAAACCAAATCCAACCATATCATGTGTGGAATTCTTGTGTCAATCTCGTTGGACAGTCGAGTATGGGGTTCAGATTTGATGGCACGCCAGCTGCTTCACAAGCAGACTGAAACTTCCTCTTCAATATCTCACTTCTTTTTATTTTACTGGAAATACTGCGTAATTTTGTTATAGCTGTACGTGAGTCAGCAATATTTGGCGCATATTCTTCATCTTCCTCAGTTTCGTATTCATTATCTTCATACTGCTGTTCTTGTCCCTTATTGTCAGTTTACTGTGTAATGCTAAGGTCTTTAATAAATCTTGTACACCAAGGTTCAAAATGTGAGCAAAGCACCGGAAATGTTGGTTGTCTGAATCAAAGTGTGGCAACTGTTTGTCCAATTCATACATAAATTTGGTATTTGCAGTTGCGTTGTCGACATTGATACCCTGTATTTTATCAATTATGTCATATTCCAATAAAAATTCGTGGAAAAACGTTGCAATATCT